ACTGGATCTACTCTTCAATCATCATGTGCTGAGTGCAACTTCTGTCAGCTGATTATTACGATACAACCTGTAAGGTTCATCACAAGGAAAAGTGTTCTCACTTATTAGCGAGATACCTTAGAGAATGCGCATAGGAACAAGCCAACTTTCAGTGATTATAGGCGTTCGTATTTGGCAAATTGACTAAGAACTGTGAACAGCTACAGTTAGGGTATTTGGCAGACACAGAAGTTAAATATCTTTAAAACCTTTTGTGTTAGGTGTGCACGAGATATGTAGACTCGATCAGTGAGTACAGCAGCACACTGAAGCATCGATCAGTGACTCGCGACGCAATATTTTATTTAATGTGATAAAGGTAATGTGCTAAGTGAGCGCCCCTGCTTCTATCACGTGACTTACAACCTCTGTCACAGATGAGTCTGCTCCTATCTAGAACCGGGGTTTCTTCACGTAAGACGTTTTAGCATTCGAATGCAGAAACATATAAGGAGATAAAGGGAACTCAACTGGGTTTCTACGATCTTCGGTTTAGTGACAAAGTTCGTTCTGGAGAAGCTACAATTTTCTCCTTTATCTAACATAACCAGCGCTTTTGTAGCGTTATGCTGGCGACACGTATACTATCTTCAGGAAATTATACAGAAAACCTTCCACATTTGGCGTGCATATTCAAGGAATTGACAGAGATCTACAAACATCTTTTAGCTAGAGCATTGTGCAATCCGAGTAGTCAAATATTTGAAGAAATATTTTTAACGTGTGCACAATAATGATGAAGTCCCCTGTCTTATTTAAAATTAGTCCACTAAGCATCATTTGAGTAGACAGAAAATCAGCTTGTACCGAATGACAAGTCATTCTTCTGAAAGGGTGACTAGAGCACAAAATGAAAACTTATCTGACGATAGCAGCAGGCCGCAATAAGGTTTTCGATGGGCATACAGCAAAGCATAATGAAGCTGGTATTTCTGGATCCGTTAAAAATCTCGATCCCATTGTATAAGAGTGCTACTGTACGGAAGACCGCCCATGCTGCAAATTCAAAGACCGAGAAGACTTAGGGACCGTCTCAACCTTTAATCATAATGCCAATTACACATCTGTTGTCTAGATGTGTCTACTTAGGAGGGTCAGCATACAGTCAGCAATAAATCACTCAACTTGTCTTTTGTCGCTGTTTATTGCTCCTGAACGCACTTAACTGACACCAAACTTTCACGTGCGACTCAGGTAAGTGAGGCCCTGCCTAGCAATCACATCCTCGTAACCACCCGCCCCTTCGGGATAAAAGAAATGGTTGAATCAGATGTTGCGTATGTCCCTACATCCGGCAATTCTGTTACCCTTCCCATTTCTCCTCCAACCTACCTCAACGAGGTCTATGGAGAAGGTGACATGAATTCCCGTAGATGACTCAGGCTAATCTGAGTAAGAAAGGGGGCCAGAAATGTTGCATTCTTTGTGGCAATCCAGGCGTTAACTTTGCCCGGTCCTGTTTCCAATTCTGTGGAAAGGGCTTGACCAACTGCACCCATCCGCTTGTACGGTGTGACCGCGTGCGTCAGCTGCTGTAACCAACATGCGAAGGACAGTTCTGCGTACTCTTAGGTAACACCAAGACCTGTAGGAACCTGCGCTGCGAGAAGAAGGAATTGGTCAACACCGGTTTTATCAAGACTGTTGTAACAGAGGAACGGCCTGGCC